TAGACTCAGATCACTTCCTCTGTTCTTCACCCTCGTGGTCGTCGATTAAACTTTAAATTCAGTTGCCTTTGAGCCATTGTGGTTGAATGTCGCCTTCATTGAAACGTGCTCTGACAACATTTTTTCGGGTAAGTGTGAATTTTTTTGTTCAGTTTATCATTTTAAAGAGAAATGGAGAAGCCTAAATAATCACTAAATAACACCAGCTTATTTCATATTCGAGACACCTTAAAAAAATCGGTTTGCTCGTCAGAAATTTTTAAAGAAGATATTTCAATAGGATTTGTACTTTGCACTTTAATGTGTATAATGAGTTATTTGCGTTGAATAGTGGAATATTTTGCACAAAAGTTTCCGCTTCTCGACTTATTTCAACTTTACAACGCTGAGAAATTATCTTCAGATGTAATGGTCGAGTGTCGAGGGTAAAAGTCAAGTATCACGCATAAAAGATTGTTGCTTAATTGTCTGTTTGTAATTTTCCCTTTTCTGGAGTAAACTAACTTTTCGTAATGCTACATTGTGAACGTTTATGAAATATACACTGTGTACATAGAGCAGGCGGTTAGGTATACAGATGTTTATATTCTGCGGCCGAGCAAAATTATGAGCCAGCTTCTACCATAAACCATAGGAATATGTTTCATTGATGGTATTAACATTATTGGAAAAGCAGAATTATGCAGTGTGTTCCAAAGAAAAACAGATTTCGCACAAATGATTATGTGTGCATCAAATGAAATCTGCATGAAATGATTTAGCCTTCTCTAGCTATTTGTTCCGCCTGGTTAAAGTTGCACGTGCTTGTCTATCTTTTTTGGCAAGTTATGAAAAATATATTAACGTTTTTACGGCTGTTATAATTTATTTAATGTTGACTTCTTTACAGAGCAGTGACGGAATAAATTTGAGATATAAATCAGTGAATGATAGTACTTTTAATTTGCTTTGCTTTAAAACTGTCGAAACCTTTAACCACTATAAAGTCCCAGAAGTGTAGAATTGTCTGGTTTATTAAGCTTTTGTGAATGCTAATTACTATATTATGCCTAGTAATTGCAGCAACTAAATAACCAAAAATACAAATGTCAATTTTCATTTATTGGATTAAAAACCGTGAAATGAACAGATCTCGCTTGCAGTAAAACAGATTTCCATAATAAAAGCTCGCGCACTGATAAAGTCAGAACAGAGGATCCTGAACCAATTTTTTGCCAAAATAAGTGCATTGTAATTCACCGGATATGTTTAAAAGAGCCTTCACTTGATTGCAGACTTTTTTATGTTCAAACAATGTTCAAATTGTAACTCATCACGCCTTAGTCAATAGATGTCTTAAATGACAAAGGGAATTGCATGCAAAAATATAGCACTAAAGTGCATTGTTTGGTAAGAAATTTCGCCTTTTAAAAATCTGAAGAGTTGGAAAAAGGCAGTATATAGGAGAAAAAAAATTAGTTGTGTATCCAAGAGTGGAGTTTAAGTTTAAGTAGCTGGTTTGTGTAAAAGTAGGATTTGCTATTTTCTCTAATGCTATTACATAAATCTAGATAAATAATATACGAACGTTATGTACTTCACTACATGATTACATAAAAGATGCGTTCACTATGATTTGCGGAATGGTCGTTTGGTCTGTTCCACGTAACTCTATTATTTTTGCTGTTTATAAATGCAGGATGAACCAAAATTTTGCGCCCAATTTGCCGTTTGTCGCCCCTATATAATCCTTCCTGGGGGCCATGGCCCCCTGCAAACACGCCACTGTTCATCAGTCCACATAACAATAAAAATGTTATGACAAAACCCAAGCTGTTTGTAGTGGATTAACAAATTAAAACATGCTTTTAAGATATGTTAATTAGGAAACAAAGAAACATACGCACCCTAATTTACATATCAGTTCCAGAAGTAAGCATGTAAACATTGATAATGAAAAGAAAGTCCATTGCAGTTTACGAGAACTTTTACTTTAAGCAACAAAAAATGTCTTCACTTTGGCATATTCCATTAAAAAAAAACAATGAAAATGTGTCACTCTGCTGAAAATTGTCACTGACGTTACAGCTGACAAGGCCATTGAAGTGTTAACGTTCACATAGGCGTAGAAAGTGTGGGGGAAATGGGTGTAATTCAGGACTAACAAAGACACTTGAATTTCATTGCATACCAAGTGCAACAAGTCTGTTTTACTACACGTGACAGCCTGCATAAATTATGTAAACAATGGGTCAACTTATCGTTGAATACAACGTCCACCTCCCTAACTTCTTAAAATTCGTTTCTGCGGAAATGGACATGCGTTTACAGTAATTTGAAATTGACTTGTTAAATATTAATGTTTAATTCTGAGATACATGTTAGTGGATAGAACAGAGTCAGACGTCCGACCTTTTCGACCTCGTGGTCGTTAAAGTCAGTAATTTTGGTTTAATGTCGTCCTCACTGAAATGTGTTCTGACAATATTTGTTCCGGTAAGTGTGAATTTTAGCTGTTTTTATCATTTTAAAGAGAAATAGCAAAGCCAAAACAATCAATTCATCAAAATAGCTTACTTTATTTTCAGGATAACTTAAAAACAACGCTTGCTCGTTGGAAATTTCCACAGAATATTTTACCAATGGGATTTTAAAGTATTTGCAATTTCAAACGCTTTTATTTTAATGTGTAATGACCGACTTGCGTATCGTTGAACGGAGGAATATTTTGCACTTAAAGTTTGCTCTTATTGACTTCTTTCATCTCCACAACAGTAGAAAATTAGCTTCAGTTTTATGGTTGAGATTAAAATGTCGAGCGCCAGGTATCTAAAAACGTTGCTTGCTGATTTTCCGAGTTTAAAGTAAACCATATTGCCGTTTATTCATGAATAAGAAAACAAAAGAAAATTTGTTCACCATTCGATTCTCTATATTTACCAGATATTTGCTGGTTTCAAAAAAAAATAGTGGACACTAGGCAATTATACTTCCTCTGTCACAACTCTTTCGTATGTTAGTCTATAGTAAGATCATATATAGATCGAGTCTATAGAGTCGAGACACACATGAATGCATTACCACTAAAGATGTTATTTTACAACCAACGCAAGCGATACAAAAGATAATCATGCTTCCCAGAGGCGAATGGAAGCAATTTAGAAATATAATCGGTTTCTTTAGGTTGAGAGAGTTGTGAGATGTCTTTCGATTCCTCTATTGACGAATCTGAACGTTCGTCAACTCCCAGCTTTCCTGAATATGAGATATGTATGAGCGAGGTATAAATCATAAAATTTTTGAAATATTGAACTTCTAGTGAGCTTTTCACATTAAGATTAAAACGTATCTTTTTTTAATTAGAAATTAGACGGTATTTTGCCATCGCATGTCGTCAACGTTGAAACAAATATGGCTATACGTTTTTTGTGTTATTTTTCATCCTTGAAAAGTTCCTTGTACAGTCACAGGAGCGATGCACTAGGACTTATTAGTGAAGATTTTAAATCTGATTTGAAGAAAAACATGGATATAAAATTTGAAAACGACTCGAACAATTATTTTTTGGCCTTTTACCCTTCTACAAAATGGGCCGTCTCTTGGGACGGTTCGTTAATCGTTGTAAGAACAGCACTCAATCACCGTCACAGACATAATATTATCAATTTTGTTTTGATTGTTTTTGCCATCCCAGATAATGAGGTCGGCCAGCTACCTAAACCGGTATATTGCATAAACTGTTTTAATGCTCGCGCTTCTCAACTTAAATTCTTCCCAGATGGAAAGAGAATTGCAGTCACTAATTGTATGGATCTTGAATTTCCCCATGACTTGGATCATTTTTGGTGTCGTGTTTATAAACTACCAGACGGTTTGTGGAACGTAGAAGAATCTTTAAAAGACGAACCCGACCAATGGATTGATCTTAAAGTTGAATTTAGTGGAGTGGATTGCCATCAATTGGGTTGTCCTATACTTAATACGGATATTGAGGCAAATGAACGTGACGAGCAAGTGTTAAAAGAAAGACGTAAAAGTGGGAATGAAAGTGATGTTGAAGTTTATTAAGATTTGTGGGCGAAGTATCGTGGTGATGGCTTTAGTTGTTTGGCTCTATCTCCTGATGCCAGCCGTCTTTTGGCAGGAAGCACTGATGGCGAACTGTTCAATTTTGATGCTGAAAGTTTAAAACTACTGCAACGCGTTCGTGCATGTTTATGATTATTATACAGCAGTTAAAAAATGCTGCCACAATCCGGCATTTGGCCGTGGGGAACTTGCAACGTGTGATCTTTATGGCTGCTTTGTGTGTGGCGCGTTTTAAATCTTGACAATTCTGAAAACTTCCAATTAGCACATCGAAAAAGGTTGGCTGTTCACCCAAAACATCACAATTACTTCATGATGATATCAGTTATTCTCCTGACGGAAAACTTATTGCTGTTACCATAGCTTGTCTAATTGATTACATTGTTAAGACATTCATTATTGGCTCCCGTTCTGGTGAAATTTGTTACACGTTGGATTGCGTGGATCAACCTGATTGACAGTGTCCGAAATTTGAGTGTCTGACCTCGTTCTAATTTCCTAATAAAAACGACTGTTTTCCTTTTTTTTTTTTTGTAAGGTAAATTTGCTCATATCACTGATAGCAAGCTTCAGTTTTTGTGTCCTCCATTGCAAAGCTTTTGCAAGAACATCACTTGCTTTATAATCATAATGAGCTTGAAAATCAGAGCATTCTCTCCTATTTTTTCGATCAGTAAGCTTACAAAGTGAAACGAGGAAGTAGCCATCCTCTAATTTTGAAGTGATATGTCTTGGTAGCTTAGGGAAAGCATCACATAGATCCACTAGGTAAGCACACATTGCTCTAATATGCCTTTCCTTTTCCTGTCTCTTGGCAGATATTTCAGTTGCAAGTTCCGCAAATGTACGTCGAAATAAAGTTGTTTCAATGTTGTTTGTTTGGTATTCAATGGCACGCGTTGTGCCAGTCAGGCATCTTATTTTCGAGTCAATTAAATAGGCTTTCTCACATATTTCTCTGAATCGTAAAAACTCTTGGCATTTGTCAGCATCTGTTTTTTGCCGTTTGTTATAACGTAAACAAAATCTCGTGAAATAATAAATGGTACACGTTCTCTGTTTACACCAAACTTTACTTCGAAATTTCCCAGAAAATATCCAAAATCAATATGAACAAGTTGGCCAGTTCTTATAACCATAATGTTATCGCTATGCCTATCACCAACGCCCAAGACATATGTTGCAACACAGTAACCAGCACAAGACATAGTAAATGACTCAACTGCACCGCAAAGCATATCAGGGGATTTATTATGCCTTTTCAACCAATCAAATAAGACTTCTTTCTTGAATGCACCTCGCACAACACCACCCTCTGATCTTTGAATATTTGATAACGTTGTTGCATCAGTTACAACTTCTTTAACAGCAATCTTATCGCCAGTTGGCAATACAGCATAAGGAGTCATCTCTAAATTTCAATCCTTCTCTTTGCCATAGAGTATCCATGATCTTAAACATTTGCAAAGTAAGCATATCTTGGAGAAGATCATCTCCATTTTTAAAAATCAATGTTGTATCGGGGCCCATTTCGAACGTGAAGCGTATATTACGATACATAAAGGGAACAACAGATCACGGATTAAAGTTTTCGGCCGAAGGAAACCCTGACTTTTTAGGATTTTCAGGTTGCGCTGGAGACATTAATACACGAAAATCAACATCAGGTTACATTTTTCAAATTGGTAATAGCACATTTAGCTGGTCAAGCCGAAAACAAAGAACGGTTGCAAAGAGCACAACTGAAGCAGCATATGTAGCATTAAGTTACACCACGCAGGAAGCAATTTGGGCTCAAAGATTACTTATGGACATTGGATTTGGAATGGAAGGACCAATTACATTCTTTGAGGATAATCAAGTAGCGATTGAACTTGCAAAGAATGATAAGTACCACAACCGTACTAAGCATATTGACATTTGTCATCATTTTGGCCGGGAACGAGTTCAGTCGAAAGAAGTCAATATTGTTCACTGCTCAACTGATGAAATGAAAGCCGATATTCTAACGAAAGGATTACCAAAATTTAACTTTGTGAAATTGAGATCTTTGATAGGAGTCACGACAACATGAACACTATAGTTTAACGATTTATAACTTTTCATTGTTTTATTTCGGTTAAGAGTTATCAAGTGGGAGTGTTAACAAGTGAAAACTTTCCCGCGTAAAGTTTGCTAGCAGGTCGATGATTGGGTGATGATGTAATTTAATTATTTTCATTATTTAGAGGTGATATAAGCACATTGGCATTGTTGATTTATAGATGTAGAAGCACATATATTCTATTTTTTTGTATATTGTTCATTAAGCGTTTCAACATATATCACTTTCGTTTGCTCGGTGAGTGAATGTTTAATAATTGGCTCCCGTTCTGGTGAAATTTGTTACACGTTTGATTGCGTGGATGAACCTGATCGACAGTGTCCGAAATTTAAGTGTCTGACCTCGTTCTTTGGTAATTTGTGTCAAGTTGCTTCCGTTACAAATGTTCATCCCCGCGTTTTTTTCTAGAAGTTACATGTTGTCTACGACTTACAAACATTGTGCTTACTTGTAGTCAAAGCGTTTATCTCTTATAATAATGTTGAAAAACTCAATATACCTATTTGTTTAAAATGAGAGTTGAAATATCTTTATTCTTAATATACTTCAGAATGTCAAACAATCTTCTGTTAGACGTTTACATTAGTGATATTGAAAAACTGGAATTCTATTGGTAATATTTCGTAAACTTGTTCACTTACTGACACAATCAGAGAATAAAAATCACAGTTATACATTTAAATATTCTTTTATCATCTAATGTTGGTTCAACTTTTATTGTGATTAGCTAAGAGCCTACAAATAATTCCTAATGAATTTCCACCTTCTAGCCAATGAAAATTATCTGTCTTTGACGTCATTTTAACGTGACAACTGACAAAACAAAACTTATTTTGGCGGAATCTTGCTTGATATTGTCTCTTGTTTTTCAAATTATTTTTTCTTGATTTACTAAGACTAACGAAGTAAAAACTTTTGGAAAGTTTTACAAATATCAGTCAAGAGTGTTTTCATTGAAAATTTACGGGGAAAAGATGAAAGCATACTTAAAAATGATTTGATGTTGAAGCACTTAAAAAATGCTTCAGTATTTAATAGCATAAAAGCTTCTGCTTTTATAAATGTATAACAAAACTTTTTCTGAATTTTAGGGATTGAAAGACTTCAAGAATCATTATGAGAAAAATTTTTAATAACGTGCTCAACTCATCAAATAATTGTTAACTATTAAGTGATAAGTATCACTTAAGGTAAAATGGCGCACATTGATTTGCTCAGAAAGATTTTTGCAAGCCACTTCTCTCCAGTGGTGGATCTTGCGCTTCGTTACCAACGGCAGTGGGAGTGTTAATAAATGAATGTTGTAAAAATTCGCAGAAAATAACTCATTTTAAATGAATAATACAACAAATTTTCATTAGATGAGTACCCCGGGAAATTATTGCACTGGCAGCTACCGTTGGCTTTTATTTGCTTATATAATTGTCAGTGTCACTCGTATCAGTTTGAAAACGAACAAAAATTATTGACTTCTTTAAAATGTCTTCATTATATAAATGTCAACGTTATAGCTTTTCAAGATTCATTCTTGGTATTTATACCAAGAACCAAGAACCAATGAAAAATCGCAATGATACATTAGTGTGTCAAAAGTTTTAGAGAATTTAAATACTAGGGAAAACACATACTTTAAGATAATATGCTACTTTTGCAATTACCTTAAGACAGCACCGGGATTTAGTCATAAAAGTAATAAGCTTGTAAATGGGAAATGCTTTTATATTTTGAAAAAGATATAGTTATGCAGAAATTATTTAGTAGTTTTGTTTCTTTTGTCTTCTTCTTCTTCTTCATGCCTCTTTTTCTTTGTGAAAGCCTCAATTCCTCTTCACAGGCTTTTTTTGATTGAATTCAAAGCACTTTTTCAAATTTTTAAATGAAATAATTCTTTTGAGCTCTCCGATAAAAGAAATATATTTTAATGAATAGCGTATAATATATGATGAAGACCTGTTCATACGCCGAAAAGACAGGATGTCTCATGTAAATAAACGATGGTTTTTCATCCAAAGATTTTCTGTATCAAGAAACCGTCGTTGAAATAGCCTGCAAGGATCTGTCCTGTTTATTTACAAATATAATTTGTTTATATTTGACAGCCAATGAGAAATGGGAATGGTTCCTCTTCTAACTTCTGCTTTGGTGTAGCCATTAAAATAACGTAGGAGTTGTACTGTCATTAAAAGCATAGAATACACGTCACACCGTAATTCCTCACCTATCACCCCACAAGAGGAGTTTGTCTCAAACACTCCACGTTCAAAAACAAATTTTTCGGTCGCAGAAAACAGAAACTTTTTTGGAAGCCTGGAGATTTAGGTAAAAATGTTTTTTCTACTACATGATTTCTTAATGGAAATAATTCTGGGCGTAAAGACATTGCTAAGTCACTTTAAAAGAGAAAATATCAACACAGCTGCAACCTGAAATAACTTATGTGAATATCGAATGCTGTAAAAAATTGAAAAATTTAATTAGCCAATTACAGTGGAGAGTCTTTTTTAAAATAATGGCGTATGCACAACTTCAAGGCATCCAGCATGGAGACAGAAAAGTTTTTCAAGCAAATTGAAAAGTTCACGAATATTTTTCGGGATTTTCATCGTCTTTTTTAAAAGTTAAGTATGGATTCATGTAGAAAAATTATCCTATTTTTTATTGATATAATTATTATTTTGAATTCATGTTAGTTTTTACTTAGGTATTATTACTTTATATAAAGGTATGTGTTCGTAACTGCGAAGATAGTTGCCTACCTTAAGTAAATATATAAAATATACATAATCAATTAATACAAAATTTGCGGCGCACGGTCTGTTACAATGGAACGGGCCGAGTTTTCGTTTGTTTATACAATTTTGTGATTTATTGGGCCGTCTATGGTCGTATCAACGATGGATAAAACAAACTCAATTTTTGGACAGAAACAAGGATATGTTACTCATATTTGCATCTTGAAATATTATATAGGCATACATATATTTATCTAAAGTAAGAACTGCGAATGTTATGTTACCTAAAGCGTAAAAACAAACAAACGATGTGGACCCTGCTCTGATTTTGGGGATTTGACCTTTATGTTATGATAGCGTTTTAAAATAATCTGTTGAAATAAGCCTGACGAACAAGGGGAAAGCCTTTTTCTTGACAATGTTAATTTACTATTCAGCCACTTTAAACGTACTGCGTATGCAAATTTATGCGAGATTATTATGTATGACGTCAAAACCAGGTAAACAAAAAAATTTTGCCAAAAGTTTAGTAGTTTGAACATTTATAATCATGTACTGTCCCGATGTATGGCTGCAACAGCGATAGTAAAAAAGACAAAAACACGGAAAACATTTCTTTCATTTCCTAAACTATAAAACAAGGAGGAAAGCAAAAGGCTAAATATTTGGATAGAGTTTTGCAAGCATAAAAAATTTTGCCCATCAAAATGTACTTGCTTGTACTCCCTACATTTTCCCCCAATGCATTTCTTCCCGGACATTTTCCAGACTTTTAAAGTCACTTAACTTTGTCAGATTTTGTCGTAATAACTCATCAGAAGCAAAGAGATCAGCTAGTTGTCTTTCGTGAAAAAAAGTGAGTACCTTATAATAATGTGTGGTCTTTATGACCTTAAAAAACAATAAGATACGAACATTTAATTTCATTTTGGTTTTGTTTGAAAAAGGGAAACCAGTAAATATTTCAAGTTTTTTTTTAAGGAGGTTAAAAGTTTAATTTCTTACGCTGAATGTATGACCGTATCAGAAACAATCAATGTTACAAAGAAGATATGTCGACTAATTGCAAATGGGAAATTGGCACAACAGTACACAGCCAAGTTTCATATATGGGTGAACAAACAAAACGCTACTCATTTTGTGTTCAGACCATTTTTGGTAGTATCCCAATGATCACGATAAAAACCAAGGCTACCCAAAGTTTTGTCAGTTCTGTGTCGCTAGATAGTCTTTTCACCTGGAACAAGTCATCAACATCTACTTAAACATCTACAATAACTTTCAAAATTATTCGATCAATAATTTTGAAAAAAACGAAAAAATGGAAACAAAAACAAAACTTTCTGACAAACTGTCCCGAAGAATCGACGTCTGAAAATCGTGAAAACGCTAATATCTTTGAACATCGGGACATTTTGCAAATACAAGAATTTCTTGGCGAAAGCGAAGAAGAATACTTACCATCCTTCAGTGAGGAAACAGAATCTGATAGAGAATTTCATGAGAATTATGAAAACTGTTCTACAAAAATAGTGTTGACCATTCGCAAATCTTTCACAGAGCAACTTAAATTCGTAATATGCGAAGAATCAATAACCAAGACGTTTTCTACTTGCTTCAAATGTTAGAGTCTGTGTATTGTAAATGATGGAAGTGTAATTGGTTGTTTTTGTAGGATTTCTATCTTCTGTTCTAGAAGAACAGGAAAAGACATTTCTTGGTCTGCAATGTCACTTTCAAATTGTTTATCTGTTTTAAATCTGCTTGTGACAACAAACATCCTTACCACTGGATTGGAGTGTAATAAGACATTGCGCTTTTTCAAGTCGCTGAACATATTACATTGAAAAAAAAATTCGCAAACATCCAAACTCTCTATATAATTCCAGCTGTGAACAGCCTTTGGAAAAAGAGCAGCAGCAAATGCTTTCTGAAGTTCAGTGAAAATCTACTGAAATAGCGTCAGATATGAGGGTAGACAGCCCAGGCCACGTTGATTTATTTGGAGGGGGCAGTACACTTGATTTAGAAAGATAAAATACCAGAAAAATAAAAGAAGAACCAACCTATAGTAACATTTTCAAACTTGATTTACAAAATAAGCCAAACAATCTTCCGCATATCAGAATATGTTTGTCGTAAAGACGAGGTAATTATGATCTAGGGGACTAGTCAGGTACCCTTTGAGAGTTGAGACGGTCATCAAATCGTAAAAAGGATCTTTAGTACACAAATTCATCACCCCCATTTAACTTCAATGTTGGAAGTCTTACCACATCCAAGCTTTGGTCATCTTTCAGTGATCATTGATGACGAAATTTTCATTTTTGCTGGAGAAATATTAAAAATAAATTCGTTTCTTACCAGCACTGTCTATTCGTATGGCTTGGGCAATCAGAAAATAACTTATCTGCCTTGTTTTCCATATTATGCAAGTAGCATGGCATACATGAGAAGCAGGGCTGCACTAAGGTTTCCCTGGCCCCTAGTTACTAAGCGAGTCGGGGGCCTTCCACATAATTGCTCCATGCTAGCGGATTTCATTCTTGGTCCACGTTTTTTTTAGGCAGTTGCAGCTGTATTTTTCTAGCACTAATTCTATTTATCTAAATATCACTTGTTTTCGTATTGTATAGTTGTTTTTTTTAAAAATCTCATTATGAAGATCAAAATATTTGGGCCTAAAATACTCTGAGGTCCAGAGGTGCAAGGGATCGTGCAATGACGCATTTTTTAATGTAACACTGACGAGAAGTATTAAGTAACAAAAAATAAATTAGAAAGAAAGATCGGGAAGAGAGTTGTAGTGTAGTAAATAGTATATAGAGAATAGAGAAATTAGTAAATAGTTTAAGCATAACAATAAGTTTAGTGAGTAATATTATGTAAATAATTGTATTAGAGTAATATGTCTGGCGTATAAAATTGTATAATTACATAAAGATATTACCATAAAAAGGCAACAAACTTAGAGAAGATGGTTCAGTAGACCTAGAACTTTAATGATAGAAATACCTACTAAAATTTAGAAATAAAAATTATAAAAAAAACATTACAGAAAAGTAATAGGTATATATGAATAGCAGACAACTGCATGACTGGGATACAATTATTTTTACAAAGTAGCAGCTATAGGAGCATGATAGAAGATGGAAGAGTATTTTGAGAGGTTGATGAAAGAGAAAATAGTATTTGTTTAGTTTCTGATCAAGATGTTCAAAATATAATTTTTAAGAAGACTGATGAGACTGATGAGTATTATATTAAGTTTTAAAGAAACACGCGAATGTGCCAAATCGCGAAATAACCTTATGGGAATGATAAGTAAAAAAAGTATACTAGACAGGGGACGCTTTGATTTCAAGAAAGAGTACTCTAAATTACTATTTATCCCGAAGTTGCTGAATGAAAAATACTAATTATTTGATAATGTATATTCGATATCCATGCTGCTGAAAGAGCAACTATGGTATTGTATGAGTTTGGATTTTGTTCAGTCTCTATGGAGGAGGGTTAAAAAATTAGGTCAATTTGTGCAATCTCTTGCCATTATTTCCTCTCCCTCCCTTATGGTGACTGCATGCAGTCTAGACAAGGTTATTCGATGTGAAAGTTTTATTGTTTTAAAGATAAGCCCTAAACTGCTTTTTTTTTGCCATTGTGATAGCAGACTACCAGTGAAGGTTAGACAGGAAGGTTATCCCTATAAACTCTTATGTGTACAAATTTCATAGTGATATACATAGATATCGAAAATAGGTAGCGAAATGTGTGCAGCCTTTTACATAACAATAAGCTTTTAATGTTTTAAATTAAGTTGCACAAAATAATTTGCCACGTATCAACTCAAAGGACGCAACCATTTGACGCTTAACTTTTTAGAATGTTAAGTGATTTAAAAGATCAAGTGTTTAAAGTTTTGAGTCATCAACTAGTAAAAGGTTTGTAACACTAAAGATAAAGATTTATCGTGTGTGTTAACGATCTGTAAATGAGATCTTAAATAAAAATTGCTCGTCATGTGTAATTGATAAGCTTTTGATAAATATTGGTCACACCCAAGTACTATAAAATAAATATCATAGATATCCGTAGCACTTTGCAATCCCGCAATTGTACACCAATCAAACCAAGTTACAAATACAAGCATATTAACTGCTTACCAAAAAAATCACTGCCATTCATCTAAAATAAGGCGTGTTTATCATGATGTGTTCAATTGTAATTTAATTTAGGTTTATAAAATGTGGTTTTGCCTTTAGCAACGTTATTTTTTGGAAATGTAGCTTTTTAAATGTTTATCACTAAACCATTTATACCAAAGATTTCAACAAGCACAATTTAGACTTTCATTACATATAATTGTGCAATGATATTGTGTTGTTCAACAGGCAAGAGTACCACTAGTATAAAAATAAAACTGACATATCAAGCTGTAGTTTTTACCAATCACTCCCAAAGTACCTTAAACATGATATAATGTAATATAATTTACACTTCTCATTTCTATTGATGAATTTGATCGAAATGATATTCAAAATTCTAAAGAAAAACAATAAGAATCATAAAGCCGTATCTTTGCTTTACATAACAATAAGCTTTTAATGTTTTTAATTAAGTTGAACAAAATAATTTGCCACGTATCAACTCAATGGACGCAACCATTTGACGCTTAACTTTTTAGAACGTTAAGTGATTTAAAAGGCCAAGTGTTCAAAGTTTTGAGTCATCAACTAGTAAAAGGTTTGTAACACTAAAGATAAAGAATTATCGTGTGTGTAAACGATGTATAAATGAGATCTTGAATAAATGTTGTTCGTCAAATATAATTAATACACTTTTGATAAATATTAGTCTCAACATAGTACTATAAAATATACATCATAGATATCCGTAGCACTTTGCAATCCTGTAATTGTACACCAATCAAACCAAGTTACAAATACAAACATATTAACTGCTTACCAAAAAAATCACAGTTATTTAACTCAAATAAGACGTGTGTATCATGATGTGTTCAGTTGTAATTTAATTTATGTTTATAAAATGTGGTTTTGCCTTTTGACAACGTTCTTATTTTGGAAATGTAGCTTTTTTAGATGTTTATCAATAAGCCATTTATACTAAAGATTTCAACAAGCACAATTTAGACGTTCCTGACATGTAATTGTGCAATGATATTGTTATTCAACGGGCAAGAGTACCACTAGTATAAAAATAAAACTGACATCTGACATATCGAGCTGTAATTTTCTACCAATCACTCCCAAAGTACCTTAAACATGGTATAATGTAATATAATTTACAATTATCATTTCTATTGATGAATTCGATCCAAATTAATTTCAAACGTATAAATAAAAGCAGTAAGAATAATAAGGGGGTATCTTTGCTTTTACATAACAATAAGCTTTTAATGTTTTAAATTAAGTTGAACAAAATAATTTGCCACGTATCAACTCAATGGACGCAACCATTTGACGCTTAACTTTTTAGAACGTTAAGTGTTTTAAAAGGCCAAGTGTTCAAAGTTTTGAGTCATCAACTAGTAAAAGGTTTGTAACACTAAAGACTAAGAATTATCGTGTGTGTTAACGATGTATAAATGAGATCTTGAATAAATGTTGTTCGTCAAATATAATTAATACACTTTTGATAAATATTAGTCTCAAACTAGTACTATAAAATATACATCATAGATACCGGTGGCAACTTGTGATCCTGTAGTTGTACACCAGATAAACAAAGTTACAAATACAAACAATTTGCTTACCAAAAAATCTCACTCATCTAAAGGAAAGCGTGTTTATCATGATGTGCTTGCTTGCTAAGGAATTCAAATTGCTTGCTAGCATGCAATTATTTTTTTCTTTGGTCCGGACGGTATATTTATAAAAAATGTGTTATTTCATTTTACACCTATGGCTTGTGTTATTATTGAAGGAAATTTATGACTCACTTTTTATTTTTGATATTGCAAATGGACTCATGCATATAATCATTGAATAGTTTAGATATTTAAGTCGTATTAGAAGTAGAAATATTGATCAGTATGTGTGTTATCTTTGTGATAAAGTAGTTTATAAGTCCACATTTTAAATGCGGCTAAAGAATTTGCTAACTTTTTTAACGTTACACTTGTCTTTCGTCAAGCTTTGGTTGCGAAGGTTCATGTATGCAAATTCATCGCATTATAGTTACAATAAATTTAAAAGCAGATATGCGTATAGCAATATATTAATTCGTTCTAACTCTCCCTTTTTATGGTCATACTTCCAAAATATCTTAAAAACGGTATAATTTAGAAAAATTTATACTTATTTCTATTGATCAATTTGCTCCAAATTATAATCAAACTTTTATGAACAAAAACAATATAAATCATAAAACCATATCTTTGCTTTATATAACAATCTATTCTTAAGATGTTTTAAATTCCGTGGCACAAAATGATTTTCTACATATCGACTCGAAGGAGGAATATATGATGTTTAAGTTGCCAGAACTTTAAATCTTTCTTAAAAGTTAAACTGTTCAAGGCTACACGCCGTTAACCAGTTAAAGGTTTGTAAGACAAAAAAAACAAGAAATTTTCATGCTTGATTACGACGTATAAATGTGACCCATGGAAGGTTGTGGGAAATTTGAAAATTCTGAGAAATTTCAATTAGTCCCTCACATAAGGTTGACTGTTCACCCAAAACATCACAACTACTTTTATGTGCAGATTTGCATAAGTTATTCTCCTGACGAAAAATTTATTGCTGTTACCACAGCTTGTTCGATTGATTACATTGTTAAGACGCTCATTATTGGCTCGCGTCCTGGTGAAATTCGTTATACGTTGGTTACATTCTGTTTGTATTGGCAAATACAATGCTACTGGTAGTTGTTATATAGCACACCTCGCAAATACTTACAGAAGATAATAGTCTAGTGAAATGCCTAATAAAAATTAATGGCAGAAAGCTTTCCTTAAGTGCAAACTTTCACTATGACAATTTTTGCTTAATCTTTGGCAAAAAAAATTTTGAGTTTTTTTTCACAAAAGGTAAACTTGCTGGCACTGTATGTGGAGATAGATAAAGGGTTACAATAAACTTGCATGGTTTGAAGTCTGAGGTTTTTTACATCTATGAACTCTCCCTTGTAGTACCAAATTTCTAACTTAACTCATTACATAGAGGTTTGAATGGGGGTTTCTAGGGAGGTCTATGTCTGACAACTTGGTAGAAATTTTTAAAGACAATATCTTTTTTGGAATAGCATTATTGTAAAACAAATTTTACGTTCCTAGACATGCTAATGAGCCATATATTTGGCATGATAATGAGCCTAAATATTTGGCAAAACATTCAAGAATTGTTCACTTCAGGTGTTTTTTGAAAAAAACGTAAGCAAAATGTGTTGTTTTTACGTAAAAATGATGCCCACAAAATGCATTTTGTATTGCTCTAAAACGGTGAAAATGGCATTTCCAAGTCTCTGAAATCCAAAATTTCCATGGGGAGAATGCTTTGGCCCCCCTGGAAGCTGAGCGCCTACGACGTTTTATGACTGATGTTTGAAAAATCCTAGATCCGACCCCCTGAGTGCACTAAAACAGACTTGCTTTCACTCGGTATACTTTGAAACTTAATTGTCTTTGTTGGTCTTGAAATACATCCCAAGTTTTTCTGATATGTAAATTAGAGAGCGTATGTACCTTCATGTTGTAATTGACATATCTTAAAATCATGTTTTACTTCGTTAGTGCAGTACAAAACAGTTTGTATTTTTCTGAACTTTTTTATTGTTGTATAAACTGATCACCTAACTAATATAAAGCAACAATGTTTATTTTTGCCTAAAATAAATACAAATAACGAATATGTTAATTACAAAATGACTGAACATACCTCCCTAATTTATATATTACAAAGTTTCAATACATCCAAAATTAAGCATGCAAATATTAATGTCAAAAAATAGTTTGTGACACTATTTCGTGACATAGGCACTTAAAGAAATAAGATTAAATGGAGACACGAAAAGAATCCAAAAAAGTCTTCGTTTTAGATTCGCGTATGCGTTATAATGAATATTGCCATAATTTGCCAAGTAAGGAACAAATTCAGTTCCTTATCACAATCTTTCTGCGTCCATGTTCTCTATCATAATTCTTGCTATCAATTTGAGCTAAATCAGCTTTGCACTAGTTTCTCCTCCCCTTCTCGCCGGTAAGTAAAGTATTTTCCAGGAGTTGCACTGAAATAGTTCTCTTTAATAAAAAAACATGGTTTGTATGGAACCTTTTTCATATCTTCTAAAATCCTCTATTATACTGCAGTCTCTCTCAAGTCATGAGCTTCGCGCTTTTTTCTCGCAACAAGAAACTCGTGCTCTTTACCAAGCGAGCTTAAAAAGTCTTTAAACAATCAAAATTTTGCTGGTTTTACTTTCATTTTATAAATAAGAGTGTATTATATATTTTATAATTTACGCTTATCTCTTTGTTGCTCTCAAAAAGCTGGTTAAACGTCGGGTTTTTAAACTATGCCAGCAGATTATCTTAAAGTATATGTTGAACCTGGTTTCAATAATTTATGTAAAACTATAGACATACTTATGTAATATTGCAATTTTTCAAAGTATGTTCGGTAATTAAAGAAATATGGCACACATGTGTGACCTAATATATGCTGACACAGTAAAAGTAGAAGAGATTGATCACAGCGATCTTATAAACTTGATTGTTGTGGAATTTCTCAGTAAAAAGATTCAAGAGTTACCATGATCTGAAAACCATGGAAGTCAACCTGAACCTTGGACAGATTATTAGAACTGTTTGGAAATGTTGACTGAGGAAGATCAATGGTTCCTTTTTGTTGATTGTGCACTAAATGTTATCAATCGAGAACTTGTGTGGCATGGTATATCAGAAGCCTTCAAATTTCTTAAGTACCATTAACCTTCTCAATCTCAGAAGAAATACTTTGAAAATCTGTTAAATGCAACTTGATAAGAGCTGATGTCAATTTATACAAAGACAAAAAAACTTCCTGTTTTTCAACATGTTTTTCATTTTGTTGATAGTAGCTGTAAACTAAAGTATAAATCTCCAGTGTAATTGTTTTTGAGTAATGTAAATTTTTTAGATATCATACTTCGCTTTCAGTTGTATGTGTACTGTTATTGACGAAACGCGTTTATGAAAAAATGGAGAATTGTATCTGCAAAGGAGAAACACGATCTATACCATCTAATACAAAGATTGCACCTGCTCAAAACCAGTTATAACTACCGCAAAACACTTACTCAAATGCTCATGTCTCATGACTTGCACGAACTTACTCAATGTTATGCAGATATTTATAATGGCAATAGTATCAGTTAAGATTGCACCTACATTGGCCTTACGAGCGTATGAGCAATGGCTCATAACAATGTATAATTGCTCATAAACACTTACTCAAATACTAATATCACATTACTTACACGAACACGTTCCTTTACATACAGACATACATAGTGATAATAGCATCAGTTAAGAATGAACCTTCATTTGTCTTATGAGCTGATGAGCTCTTATTTCAAACAACTTATAACTGCTCATAAACACTTGCACAAATGTTCATAAATGCACGTTGCTACCTAAAAACATTGCATTTTCAGAAAGGTCTTGCAGACGGAATGACCTGCAAATATTGTGGAAAAGTATTTCATCGAGGTTCTAACTTACGCCGTCACTGGAAAGAGTACTGGCCACAGAGGCATCAGGGAGAATGGTCTCAATCAGAATCTAACAGTCAGGACATAAAGGTTGAAGATAATGCTTCGACAAGTTAAAGATGAATATGAAATTTTAATGTTACAGAAAGAGATGTTAAGCCAAAAGAGGAAACAGTTCCTTGGATACCGCTGATAGAAAAGGAAAGAGAAAGAAGTGATGCAGTATTTGATAAAATAAAAGAAAGCCTTTTGAACAGGTGTCTAGATAAGCAATCAGCTGAACATCAAGCATATTCTAACATTCTGCGTGTGTAGTCACAATCAATTAGCACTTCGCTAGAGAATCTCGAAACACTACACACGCGTGTCTGGGTGTAATCTGGGTGTTTGGTGAAATTTTCCTATTGATGATTTTACTGCGTAGTGTGGTAGAATTAATATACACGACAAGTGTTTTTTTAAATAGACATCCTTCAACATCTCATGATGCCATCTTCATCAAGATGCCATCATGAGATGTTGAAACATGTCTATTTTATAAAAACTTGTCGTGTATATTAATTGCTCATTAGCAATAGTGCTTTTACGAAATTGTGGTAGAATTAGTAAGTGTTGTGTTCATCTTCTCGTCGTCAACTTGAAAGTGCAAGTTCTGTGAGATAGTCATAAAACACGAATTTTGAAAACATTTACTAGGGTAAATTTACTTAAATGGTTTTTATCATGAAAAGAGCAAGGTAAAAGGTCAGAACTATTGTTGAAACATTTTATAGCAACAGCGCAGTGTAGTGTTTACAACAAATTGTGTGCAATGTAAGTTGCATTTTAATCATATTTATCTGAT